GTAGACGCTATCGCGCACCCGCCTCGTGCTGTTGGGTGCACAGAAAGCGATGCTCATTCATACGGAGGGCCGGGGGCGGGGCAGGGGGTGTTCGTATACCCTACATTTCTTAACCCCATATATCCCAACATTATAGCCTCTATAAAGACTTTGCGACCCAGCTGGAGGTCTACGCCTCTATTCTGAATGCAGAAAGTTAAGGTGGGAGGGTGTGGGGGGAGGGGATGGGGGAGTGGAAAAGATCAGCCCAATATCCCTCTGTAGAATCCTCAGCAGATCTCCATAAACCGACATTTTTTTACTTCCTGAGAACATTGAAATAACGTAGAAGCCGCAAACCTATTGATTCTATCCCCTTATAGCCCTTAATGCGTGGTGTCACAATACATACCGAAGCGCTATTCCTTTAGTTCCCCACATGAGCTACTGTCTATATAGGCTTCATTAAGGGACCCTCAATAGTGGACATAGGGGTCCCAATTGTAGTTAGTAGAGTCCGAAATAGAGTCCCTAATATCTGTCCATCAACTTATTATGTAGGCAATATTGACTCTAGCTATATAACCCCTACAACCCCTATAGCCAAGACACCCCAAACCCTAAACCTAAACCCTAGGCCCTAAGCCCGACCCCCACAAAAGTACCTAGGGCTGTAGCTTACATGAAGGCCCACTCCTTTCTTTTTCCAAGCTTCCAAGGCTCAGCGGGAATGGCAGTCAGGGAAGCATCAGGCACCCCTGTGGTTCTGGGGCGTCGGGGGCAACGGAAAAGAAAATGTACACTACACGTTCATTCAGGGTTTACGGTTCAGGGTTTGGTTTGGGCTTAAGGTTTGGGGTTTGGCTAGGGCTTCAGGTTTAGGGTGGGGGATTTGAGAGTCAGGGTTTAATAAGTTTAAGGTGAGGAGTTCGACGGCAAAGCAGTGTACGTATTTCTTACGGGAGTAGGTAAGGCGACACGTCATGTTCAAAGATTTCTTGATCATGAGTTTTGCTTCCATCCTTGCCGCATTTTGTTCCAAATATGACTAAGCACTGGCTGGGGCGGGGGTGGGGGGGATATCATGCGGGTGGGGGGTGGGGCGGGGGTGGAACCGCGGAGCGCAGGCGCATATAAAGGTGATTATACAGGGGAGTAGTATAGAGGTTCTTGAAGGGATACTCGGAGTTTAGACTATGGCTCATGTAGTGGTAATCTAGGGATTACATTCCTTTATTATCTTCTCAGAACCAGTATGGTTAGTAGGGCGTAAGGGAAATGGGGGTAATATAGGGAAACGAAAATGGAAACTACAATATAACGAAAGGGTATATGTTGTGGTCATAGTAGGGAATGCGGGAAAGTATTATACAGGGGTTAGGTAGGGATTATATTCCCTTATTCTCCACTAAGAACCAGTAAGTTACTTGGGGGTTTGCGAAAGTTGAGGGTGCACCCTTTTTTGGAGCCTTATAGTAGGCATTTTAGCATGCTGGGGTTGGTGGGGTTTATGGAAACTTTCACTTACATTTTGAAGAAATGTTTTCGTCCCCAGACTCAGAATTCAGCAGGAAAGACCGTTCCATCTAGGAAGCAGCAGGTTGTTTGGTTTATAGTCCCCCTTAAGTAGGTAGAATATGGGGTATATGGGGATCTTATCATAAGCTACCCAAAGCCATATTCTATCTACGTAAGGGGGGCTACCGGTCTTTTCGGCTGCCGGGATCTGGTTGCAGGATGAAGATCAGGCAAGCTCAGATCTAAGGATGCTGGCAGTATTTGGGGGTTTCCCAAAATTAGGGGTACCATTTTGGAGTCTCAGTAATAGGGAGTATAGTATTTTGGGACTATATTGGGGTTGCCCTGTTTTCGGAAATTACCATTTGCAATAAGGACACAAGAGCTACAACAAGTCGTGGAGAAGGATTGACAGGTTGCTATGTGTAATCATGGACCGCGAATGAGAGTAGCAATGGAAACGACGAAGCGCTGAACTCCAAATCCTGAAGCCTCGGCTACCTAATATCGGGGCCTAAATAATTACCAATATCATGATTCTATATTCCTTATATAATTATGGTCTACGGTACCTCAAATGGACCTCAAGATGATATAGGTGATCATCTAGGCCCCTGTAGTACCTAAATCCCATCCCTGGACCCTTACACTGACCTACAGTCTCCCTTAAGTAGATGGAATATGGCTTCGGGCACATTATGACAAGATTTCCATATTCCCCCATAGTCTATCTACTTAAGGGGTGACTATAAACCCCTAAGCCTTACATGCCTCAACACCGATTGAGAGGCAAGTTCCGAAACCTCAGATGGGCAGCTTGGCTCCATTCCTGGGGTTCCACTTACGTAGGGTTGAATGTGGGGGGGGGGTTAAGGTTTAGGGCTTAGGGTTGGGGGGTTATATCGAATAATGGATGGAAACTACAGTGATTACAGGGGTTATCTAGGGATTATAGGGACTATATAGGGGCTATATTGGATAATGGAAAAGAAAACGGAAACTACTATTTAGGATTCAGGATGGTTTAGGCTTTGGCGTAATTTCTTTCGGAGCCTGTTTCACAGTCTTAGATCCTGATCTTGTGTACTTTTTCATCCGTTGCTCTGGCTCTTGTGTATGCTTATCACTCTTCTTGGGCTGCAGGATCTTACCTGCATGGAAGAGGGTATCCCGAACCCTCAGCGCTGTATCCTCTGGTACTTCTTTTTCTTTAGGGTGCCGAGCACTGCAATGCAGACCCATATCACAAAGGTAAGAGCAGTGGTCCTTGTGCTACACAGCAGCGGGAGGTGCTCTCCTGTTGCGGTAGCATCGAACCATCAACGACTGAGTTTCAAAGCACATCAGGGGAAATCCCAGGGAGGGATGTTCATGCTAGAGATGTGGTCCTATGAAGCTGGGCCCCGCAAGAGATTTGGGAATTTCCCCAAAACTAGGGGTACTTTGCTAGGGGTCCCCATAATAAGGATTATAGTATGTTGGGGTCTATATTGGGGTCCCCCCATTTTGGGAAAGTACCATTTGTAGGGTGTTCACATAAGTTCAGGGGGTAACTACACTTGTGAACCATGGTCGTTGCTCGGCACACATCTAAGGCAGGAGAGAACTGCATATAGCCAGGCAGGGCAGGGGCTTGCTACTCTCAGCGTTTGTGGGAAGGACTCTCAACACAGACCTTCAAAGTATATGGGATCCGTATCAATCTCTTCAAAACAAGGGCCAGCACCATGCAGCCGAAAAGCTAGGATCCCAAATCATATGGGTAGTTCCCAAAATTAGCGTCCCATTCACTTTAGGTACCTCGAAATCTTCGGTGCCGTAATATAACCATAATTTTGAGAACAACTCATACAGGCTGCAGTTTGCAAAGAAGCTTTGACAGCGGTTCAGGGTTTAGGTCAGGTTCATGCTTCGGGGCTTCAGGTTTAGGGCTTTTTCGGGTTTGAGGTCCCCGTGCATATGCAGCTCCTGTACCTTGCATACGCAACATCTGGCTGATCAGTTTTTGATGTGAGGTCCGCAAGACTATTGTATCAACCTGGCACGCTGAGCCCCGGAGCTCCAATGTTCATGGGGGTTTGTGAAGAGACTGCAGTACCATTGCAGTTTGTCTCCAAGCACAACCAATCTCTCACTTGCGAATGTCATATGACCTCCTAAGAAGCGAAAATCCCTGGAAAGCCAATGCTGGATAGCCCGTAAACTCTAAACCCTAAAATCTAAACTTGTAGAGAGCACCAATTGCTTTCCACCATAGGGCGGAGAAGACTTCACATGAGCAGTTATGAGTTTGATCGACAGCCCTACATCTTTAGTCCCCCTTAAGTAGGTAAAATATGGCTTTGGATATATTATATTAATAAAATCCCCATATACTCCAGATTCTATCTACTTAAGGGAGACTACACGTCAACCCGTACCCTATATCTCTGCCGAGAACATCCCCCAGGCGACACCTAACCTCACCTATGGTAGTTTCCGCAAATGGGGTGACCGGATGTAGACCCCAATATAGCATCACCCTCAGTATGAGGAGCCCCAAAAAGCGCCCCCTAGTTTTAGGAACCTCCCCGTGGACCTCCAGTAAACCATGAACTGAACCCTATAGTCCCCCTTAAGT